CCACTCCCCACAAGGACACTCGTTCATGGGGCAAGCGTCTGAGCAAATACTTGCAGGCCAGATCACAAGGCCAGGACCCGAGGGCCCATGTCTCCAGCCAGGCCGAGGCGCCCCCTCCCACGGCCTGACCCGGAGGGAGGAGCAGCAAACAGCAGAGACGGCTGCCCGCCAGCTCTCCACCCCCAGCAGGTGCTGTGTGAGCTGTGTGCAAGGGAACACGCACCTGTGTGCTGCATGTGCTGTGTGTGAACATGCACCTAGGTGTTCTGCCTGTGCTGTGTGTGCATGTGAGCACACTCCTGTGTGTGCTGCATGCACTGTGTGCTGTGTGCACATGTGAACACATACCTGTGTGCTGTCTTGTGTGTGCTGTGTGTGCATGTGAGCATACATCTGTGTGCTGTGTGTGCATGTGAACACATACCTGTGTGCTGTGTTGCATTGCTATGTGCATGTGAGTACATGCCTCTGTATGCTACTTGTGCTGTGTGTGCATGTGCACGTGCACACACCTGTGTGTGCTGCATGTGCATGGGAGTGCACTCTTGTGTGCTGTGTGCATGTGAGCACACACCTGCACACGCTCCAAGGGGAGGTCGTCCACCAGAGAGCTGCCCATCTCCTCTTGATCCTGCCCCAGCAGGCGGCCCCCTTGTTACGCATGACGGAGACAGTCCTTCCGGGCAGGGACAGGGGCTCCTCAGCACACCGCCACAGAGAAGCCCTACTGTACCATCACTGTGGACCTGTATGTGCTGTGTGTGCTTATGTGTGCTGCGTGTGCCACGTGTGCCTGTGGGCACACACCTGTGTGTGCTGCATGTGCCCTGTGTGCGTGGCACATGCCTGTGGGTGCTTTTGAGTGTGCGTGCCCCGTGGATGGGCCAGGTGGAGGGCAGGCACATGGGCCAGGCCCGCGCGGAAGAGCGGCTCCCCGAGGGGCAGCGGAGCGGACGGGGGGCTTACCTCCCAGAGATCCCATGGGATTGGCTGACGCAGCAGTGAAGGGAGAAGCACCGAGTTAGCACAGAGGTTAGAGGGTGGCAAGCAGTCCCCAGGGGCCCCGTCTGCCGCAGGCCCTCGACCCGGCTGGCACGGAGCGGCCCAGGACTGTCTGGGCTCTAAGGTCTGCAAACAGGACGTGTCTCCAGGGCAGTGAGCGCCCAGACCGGGGTCGTTCCCGGAGCGGGGGGATGCTGAGGCGAGCCGAAAGTTGCCAGGAGGTGTTCAGCCGACCCCCTTCTGGGAGTCCTTCCCGCTGAGAGGTTCGCTCTCTGCCCGCTCAGCCGAGGAGGTGACCCAGGCCAGAGCCAGGCACAGCGGAAGGGCAGTGACCAGGGCCTACGTGGGTCTGCCCAGCTGGCAGGCAAGCGCCAGCCCGGGGTCCGGCCCCCAGAGGCTGTGGGCTCACGAGTGGCAGTGGGCACAACCCACCTGACCAGAGGGTGTGGGCGCCTTCACCGGGCTGGCCACCGGCGGGAGGGGCTCGAAGTCCAGGTCCAGCAGACTGGCCTGCTCCGAGAACGGCCCCGGAGCCTCAAACTAGGCGGCAGTGGCAGCACAGAAAGGAAGCAGTTAGTGTTAGCAGGGAGTCCCACTGCAGACACACACGAACGCACACACACACGGACACACACAGAGGCACCCACAGGGAGGCAGGGCCCAGGCACAGGCCCGTGCACCTCAGCACCCATGGGGGCGCTGCCCATGGCCACGCGCCCCGGCACGGGCTCCCGCCCACAGGACGACGACACGTGGGCCCACTTCTGACACCCACAGCAGCCCGCTCTCGGCAGCCAGCCTGCAAGCCTCCGCTCCCTGCCATCCCCCCGACAGGGTGCGACGGCCTCAGGGCCCACACCTCCTCTCTGCTCCCTGCCCCTTCCGCAAAGGCAGCCCCGGCCACAGCCGTGGCCAGGCACCACCGCCTGCAGGTCCCCACCAGAGCGGCCCAAAGTCAGGGCTTTGTGCTGGCCCTTCCTGAGCCCCAGGCAGACAGGTCCCCCGTGGGCGCCGCCCACCCGGCCAGCACCTGGGATGGAGGGGAGGGCTGGGCCGGCCCACACAGCCTCGGAGGCCACTCTTCAAAGTGGGGTCCCAACACCAGGAGGCTTGAGAACCACCCAGGGCGCCTGCGTTGAAACTGCAGACCCCTTCCCACAGAAGCCACCCCTGGGAAGCCCCTTCCATGAGCCTGGGTGCAGCCCAGGAATGTGCCGTAACAGACAGGACGCCAAAGATGGGATGGCAGCCCTGTCATGCTGTGAGCAGCCCACTGTAAGCTGGGCCACACCATCACGAAAGAAAGGGGGCTTCCTCTGAGCCCCTGGAGGGGAGGACCCTGGACAGAGCGGGAGTGATGACTCTGAGGCGCCCCAAAGCACAAGCTGCCTTCCCAGGAGGGCTGGCTGGCTGCGGCCGCCATCCTCTCTGCGGGGCTTCCCTTTGGGGCCACAGCGGACTCTGCCCAGGCCCCAAAGAAGAGGGGTGCAGCTGGGGTGCCCCGCGGCCCTCGTGCGGCGCTGGGAGGCACCAGCTCCACACACCCAGGCCCACCAGCTTCCTGGCTCCACTCGCTCCTGATGGGCACCTGGCAGCGGTGGGGGCACACTCCGGGGCCATGTCCAGCCCGTGGCCTTCCTCCCCAAGGACCCAAGGCCCGGAGCTGCAGGCAGGGACTCCCCAGAGGGGCCTCCTCGGCAGAGCAGCAGCCCACCGGGAGAGACCCGAGACCCTCAGTCCTGAGAAAAGCAGCTGTCCCGCAGCTCAGGGGCAAGGCCTGGGGCATTCCAGGCGGGTCAGGCCACAGAGGCCGAGAGCCCAGGCCAAGGGGCCTCTTTCCTTCCCAGCCCCCATTCTAGTCTCTCCCGGCAACTGGCTCTCCTCTGGGGCTGGTGAGCTCAGGGTGGGGAGGCCACCGCTCTGGCCCATGCCCGGCTGTCTCTGAGAAGAGAGAGCCCCAGACTCTGGTGCAAGCCCTAGGTGTCCCCCAGCAGGTGGCCAGAGTCCCTCCCCAGGAGCCCCGCCCTCCCCTGTCCACAGCCCTCCCTCCCTTCTCGGAGAAGTCAGCCAAGCCCAGACAGCAACGTCCCCTCGTGCCCCAAGGGGATGGTGACTCCCGGAGAGCTGCCATCTCCTCTCGGCCGGCGTGACGGAGACCGTCCTTCCGGGCCAGGACCCAGACTGCTCACCACACTTCAGCAGAGAAGCCCCGCTGGCGCCAGCACTGTGGACCAGAGCGAGCCCACCCCGCCCCATGCCACACCGCCAAGGAGCACGGCCCTCCTGCCCCAGCCTCCTGGGCCAGGCGGCTCCCTGGAGATGGCACAGGGGCGGCAAGGCACGTGTGTGGTGACATGGAGGGGCAGGCACACTTGGGGCTGGGGAGTGGGTGGTCTCTGGGCCGCCTCCTTGCTGAGACCACCCTGCCTCGCCCCGGCACCAGCCCACTGTACAGGCGGGCTTCTCGCACATTCGAGGGGGCATGACCTCTCCCAGAGGGTGACGGAAAACAGACCAGGGGTGCCAGTAAGCGGCTCCGTGTCTGCTAGGCCCTCGCCCCCGGTCTCCCTCACGGACATGCACGCTGGCCACAGGCTGGCCTGCCCGGCACCACAGGGCAGGGACGTGCTCCAGCCCAGGACGGCTGCAGCCAGCTGCCCGGAGCTCGCTCAGCCCCGTCCCCACGCTGCCCTTCCTACTCCCCCCACCTTCCCAAGAGGGGGCTCCCACGCCTGCAGGGCTCTGCACGGGGCGCTGCCCACCTAGCCACCAGCAGCCCCCCTTCTGAAGCTCCTTCGAGGCAGTCCCAGTTCTCACGTGGGAGTTGGCCCCAAGCAGCGCTCCCCGTGGAGCCCATCGTCCCCAGCTCCTCACACCCGCCCTCCGCCCGGCCCCAGGCCCCGAGCTGCGTGAGGGAGTCGGCAGGAGGCCCCCGCCATCGGGACTGGCCAGCTGCAACAGGCAAGGCCTCCGTGGGAAGCCTCACACACAGGAGGGAGGCTTTGGCCTGCAGGGCCGGCTTGGAGGAGGCGTCAGCTCTCTGGGATGCCAGGAAGCCCCTGAGCTGACCGGACAGCGTCACGCCCACCGCAGGGAACCTCCCTCCCCAGCTCCCCTCACATCTCTGTGATGGGCTTTGCAGTCCCTCGGGGAACTTGCGGCAGCCGCCCTGGGCGCTGGAGTCCGGGTGCCTCGGCCATCCCAGGGCCTTCCCGTGTGCCCCTGCCACCTCCTCCCGCCACCACTGATGGCACCCCCTCCTGCTCCAGCGTCCTTCCCGGATGGCCCCAAGCCCTGCACATGCCCTTGCCCCCGCCAGGGCACCCACGGCCCGAGAGGCCACTGCCAAGCAGACAGCTGCACCCAGAGGGCAGCACCACTCCCCACGCCCCTGCATCCGGCCACAGTGCATGCTCCTGGCAGGTGATGGAGAGTGACGGTGGGTGGAGAGAGGACAGGATGAGAGGGAAGCTCGGGCCGGTCTCTCCCGCCAGACGCGGGCTCTGGAGACAGAGGCGCGGCGTGAGACGGAGGACGGAGGCCATGCACGCCCAGGACGGCCAGAGGGGCGGGAGAGCTGGGCCGCGGCGGCCGCGGCTGACCTGGGAGGGGGTGGTCACGCTGATCTCAGGGACACACGTGTCCTCAAACAGGCTGAGGATCTGCTCCTGCTTGACCTCCTTGGACGGGGTGTGTTTGGGAGGCGGAGGGACTGGCGGGCCTTTCCGGAGCTGTGGGTCGGCGGCGGGCGAGGGGCCCGGGGAGGCGCGGAGGAGCACGGGGTGGGGAGACAGAGACAAAGCCACGGTCAGTCACGCGGAGGCCACGGCCCCGCCCAGGCAGCAGGGCAGGCCTGAGCAGATGGAGAGTCACGGCCCCCGACAGACGCCGGGGCCCCGGGCCGCCCAGAAGGGAGACCGAGGCAGGAGGTTCAGAACGCTGTGCAGAGAGAGCAGAGAGGATGGAAACGGAGGCGGGAGAGAAGAGGGAAGGAGAGCGGCCCCAGCCCCCCGCCCACTGGAGAGAAGGCTGAGAGACGGCCAGAGGGACGGCCAGAGGGACAGCCAGGCCCCAGCCTCTGCCCTCCCTGAAGACCCTTCTCTCCAGCTCCCTGGGCTCAGGGCTGATGGGGAGCCCAGCTCAGCCTCAGTCAGCCCCTGTGGCGGCCAGTGTGCACCCAGGCCTGGCAGGGGCCACACACCTGCCCACCCGGTGGGCAAGTCACATGCCCGCAGGCTGGGTTTCCTGGGTACTGGCTGTGGGTGGGGGCAGTGTCTGCCTCACGGTGGGGGTGGGGGAGGGTTCCGCGGATGAAAAGAAAATACAGGGGCTGCTGGCACCGTGTCGGGCCCAGAAGAAATGCTGTCCAGTGATCCTGGCTGCCCTGAGCAGCCGGGCAGGGCAGCAGCGTAGAGCCGAGAGAGGCTGCCAGGAGCCACGGCTCGGAGGAAGCCTCCTCCCTGGTCTGCTCCCCTGGCTGGCCTGCTCCCAGGACCCCTGCGGAGACCTGATGGGCCCGCGGGGCAGGGCGGGTAGAGACAGGCACAGCACAGAAGCCAGTTCCCCCTCTGCCAGCCCCACTCCCCTCTGAGCCCTTCCTCTTTCTGGCCCTTTAGAGGCCCGGCAGGCCACCTGCCTGGGCTCCTCCCTCAGCCTCTGCAGGAGAGGGAAGCCAGGAGGAGGGGAGGCAGCCACCTCCAGACACCAGATGCCCCGGGGGCCGAGGGCCCAGAGCCCGGCCTGGGGAGGAAAGGAAGATGGAGAGCTGTGCAGCCAGAAGGCCAGGGAGAGAGGGCAGCGGGGGGTGCTGCAGGGGGACGCTTGGGAAGAGGACAGTCGCAGACGCCCCCTGAAGTGGATCCAGGAGAACAAGGCCGGGTGGACCCAGGAGAACAAGGTCCAGGCCCGGGAAGGGGACAGAGGAGCAGAGGGAGGAGACCACCACAAAGCTGGAGAAGGAGGAGCACCACAAAGCTGGAGGAGGAGGAGGGGAGGGGACAGGACGCGACATCAGACATCGCGCCTACCTGAGACGGGGACTTGGGGAGGGCAGCCCCGGGCGCGGTCCCTCCGGCGGGCTCTGGCTCATGATTGACTCTGATCTCAGGGGCGGCGGCCGGCGAGCCATCCGGAGGCGAAGGGCTCTTGTTCCCCCTTGCAGGGGCGTTGTCACTGCAGAGACGGGAGAGAGGGAGCCGGTGTAGGGGAGGTGCGGGGCAAGAGGCGTGAGCAGACGTGGGGCATGTCGGAAGTGCGTGCAGACATGGGCAGGAACTGCCCTGTGGCCCAGGAGGGAGTCCAGGTATCCGGGCTGGGGCCTGTCTGGAGGCCACGACAGGAGGCGGGGCTCTGGGCTGGAGGTCTGTGGTCCCAGGGGCATGGGCAGGTCCCGGACTCCACCCCGCGGCCCGGCGAGGGCCAAGGTCCACAGGCCCAGAAAGCCAAGCATCCTGCGGGCACGGTGTGTCTCCCCGCCATGCCCACCCAGCGGCCCGTCCCAGGGTCCCTCGCCGCCCCACAGGCCCCGGCCCGCATGCCCAGCCTCGACTCCCAGCCTCGACTCCCAGCCGTGGCCGGGAAGCACTGCGGGCCGGCATGGGGAGGAGTGGGCACTGGGGATGGGGGAGACCCCGGGACCGGCGTGGATGGCGTGAAGGCGTGCACCCGGGCGCGGGGCACTGGCAAGGAAGGCTGCGGGCGGCACCTCCAACACGGCCACCGCCAGGCGCGGGCAGCCACGTCCACTTAAGTTCACCACGTTAAGTTTAGTGCAGACAAACGCTCAGCAGCTCGGCCCCACGGGCCGCATCCCCAGGGCTCAGCACACACATGCAGCCCCCGCCCCAGCCGGGTGTGCCCGTGGAGACGGACCGCGGACCCCATGGGGAGCCCCCGGCGCCACAGGCGGAGCGCGAGACGCCAACGGCCCCCGTGGCCGTTCGG